CTGGTACCATTGCTCCTGTTTTAGAGAGTAGGGAACTAAAGCACAGAGAAATCAGAGAATTTCAGTCAGTGTGGAGTAGCATTTGGGCCAAGGGAGTGTTGACTTCAGGCCTTGGTTTGAGCATTGTCACTACTTACCCATCCATACCAGGAGCCCAGTTCTGATTCTTCCCTGACCCCCATGGCGGTGATAAGTGATCTACTTCATCTCCGGGCTTCCTTCCTGTGAGCGTTTGGGGGAGTCTCCATGACGTAACCCTTGCTGACCCCACGCCGGCTATCCGAAAGTCTTGTTGCTTAGGACAATGACTAGATGTCCTTTTGATTTCTGTGAATCAGCTAAGTACTCCAAGCCCCAGTGTGGCTTTTAAGTGATGGGTCTGTCTGTCCTTCCTGAATTAGGCTACAGCAGCTGCCCCGTGGCCCCGCCCCACCAGAGCCTGCCACCCGTTCACCAGCGCCACATCACAGTGCCTACCAGCGTTCCGCAGCAGCAAGTCTTCGCCTTGGCCGAGCCCAAGAGGAAACCGTCGCTCTTCTGGCACACCTTCCACAAACTAACCCCCTTCAGAAAATGAGCCTCACTCAGGCTGTGCCTCTGAGGTACTGTGGGGAGGAAGGCCAGTTTCGTCTCTTCGGTGTGGTGTCCAGTGTGGTGCTGCACACTTCTTTTGGGAATCAGCGATGAGGAGGAGTTGAACTCATCTTTGATCCTGAGAGGCCCTGGTGCCCTTGTGGAAAGAAGGGCACCGTGAAGCACTGCTCTGTCCTACACTGGAAGCCGAGGTGCATGCTCAGGTGGCTGGGATGTAGGGACCAGGCCTCTCTCTGCATGGGGACAGCTGACCCAGTGGTCCTGTGAGTTTACCACAGATGGTCACATTCCTGCTGCAGTTTCAGACAGTTCCAAGAGCCTTTCAGTCCCTTGGGGGCAACTATATGAAGGATGCCTTCCGTGTTTGTTCTTAAGCATTGGCAGAGATTGGTAGGATTTTGGCAGCCATAGGATGGCCTGGCTCAGGTCAGACCTGGGAGAGACAGTGAAGGGGTTAGAACTGCTGGGCAGGTGCCCACTGTTTTCCAAGGTGTGCCTGGTGCCAAGCAAGAGTGTAGGCTTCATCTTACAAGGTTCACTGTTCACAAGCTAGGAAGAGACAGGAGGTACCTGTCGCCCTGGCAACGTGGGATATGATAGCATCCTCAAAGCTCCGTGCTACTTTCCTGACCAGAGGGAAGGGCACTGCCAGCTTGTTTGTCCCTCTCACCTCCTCCAGCAGAGGTCCTGCCTGCTCACAGCACAACCTAAGGAGCTGCCAGTCACAGAAATAGTGGCGAGGTGAAAATTGTTTCAAGTTTGCTAACATGAGAATGGGCACCCACGCATCTTCAGCAGCCATTTGCAGTTTCGCCATCAGTGAGGCGATGAAGACACAGAGGTTCCACAGAGAAAATGAGGGACAACGTGCCCTGCTTCCTGAGATGTGGAGACACCTGTCACATGACCTTGAAACAGTAGTGCCCGGCTGTGTCATCTGATGACTCCTTAGCTCTGAGAGACAGTTTAATGAGGGTCACACGGACTGACGCCCACAGAGAGTAGCCTCCCTTTGTTGACATTGTGGAGTTTGATGAAAATGCTTTTTAACCAGATGTAAGGAAGACTGGTTCTACATTTTAATCGGCACAGTGAGCTGGCAGGGAGGGGTCCCGCTGGGCAGCTGGTGCCTTCTTTGGGACGGGCTTGTTCTTGCATGCAGTTCCTACAAGGTTCTCCTCGCTCCCCAGCTCTTGCTTGAGAACAAACAAATCTGCAGTTTTAGAGATGAAGATATTGGTCCATCAGCACAGTTCCTCCACCCAGTCCGCCCCAGCTAGAGCTAGGCCTAAAGCTACTGACCTCACAGCAAATCGCCTTGACCCTGGACCTGGGATTCGCCTCAACCCTGCTGTGCACCTTGGGCGTGCTGGGGATTGTGGTCAGAAGCCCCACGGCTGGGCTGTTTCTGTGTGTCATGAAGTGATTCGGTGCACAGAGCATGTGGGGGGTGTGTGTGTGTGTGTGTGTGTGTGTGTTAGACAGAGAGAGCGAGTGAGAGAATCCTTGAACAGATGACTCAGCTTAGCTGCGTTTCTATAACTGACAGGTTGTTTTTGTATTTTACTAACTGAATGCAATGATATATTTTGGAAATGATACTTAGTGTGCTTTCTCTGCTACAGTGTGTATGTCCGGCGGTTTCAACAGTTGTGCTGTTAATGTGTGAATTGATTTGAGGAAGTGAAGAGAGCCTTTTGGTCCTGTTTATAGTCACTGAGGATTCAACTTGAGTCTCACTGCAGACTTCATTTGCTGTTACAGTGAATGACAGTGAAGAAGTGATACGTTAAGTCTGTGTCCGGTCCTGATATATTTCCCAGCTGCCCTAATTTCCGGTTCCCACCTACCTCCACAGACCTCCTAACAATCCCGAGTCATGGTCAAGACCTGGGCCGGCCCCAGGCAATTTTATACAGCGTGAGAAGTGTTTAATCAAATGTCTGACCCGGATGAATCTTACTTGGGATTTCTGGGTGATTTTGAAAACTGATGTGTTTTTAAAAGCTATAATAGCCTTTTGACTTTGTAAAAAATCTGTATGTCTATATAAATTTTATTACCAAATACCTGAGTTCTACAAAAAGTGGAAGACCTTAAGTATTATTTTTAGTTCTCCAAACTCCCTTCTTGATTTGAGGTTTGTGCTCTACTTTGAAAGGAAGAAAAGAAGCAGCCCTGAGCCTCTTGCCGGATTGGGCTCTGAGGCTCATGAATGTTCCCTCCCTCTTCCTCAATGGCCAAAATAGTTTGGGATTTCCATTTTAATGATTTCATTTGTTCTGTCTTTAGCATTCCGGAATTTGCCAGCTCTGTTGATACAGTTGAGAGGGCCTCCCTGGTTTAGATTATATTTATATGACCACCATGTGGTAGGTGAAAGGTGATCATAAATAATACTTGAAAGTGTAGAGAAAGAAGAGACATTCCAGGCTCTGTCCCAAGAGTATGGCAGACAGCTAGTTGGGCTCTCAAGAGACATATGTAGACCTGCTCCTGCAGGCAGGAACCATCCCCACTACGGAACGCCATTTCTAAATCCTGTGCCTTTTAGTACCCAAGCCATTCAAGACTGACTCCGCATCCTACGTTGCTGTTTTTACATACAAAGCAAAAGTGTCTTTAATTTGAAATCCAGTTCCCAGGGGAAGTCTTTTGTAAGCGCCTGCGATCCAGCATCATGTGCGTGTGGAGAATTGTACCTGGATATTTCTCAGGACGGGTCAGTCCTGTTTCCAGTTGGAGTTTCCTGGAGCCAGGGTATGGCTTCTGTATTTTGTCTTCATCACAGATAGGAAAAGCAGAAGTGTCCCTCAGGCCAGTGCCAAGAAGTGTGAGTCAGTGTCTTTCAGCAGCTTAAAGCCAGGATGCTGGGTACAGTGTGCCCACAAATGGTTTCTCCTCAGGATCCAGGGAAGGGGAGTTTGAAGGACTTGGGACAAAGTAAGTAGCAACTTCTAGCTAGTCTTGGGGAGGGGCGGAGTCAGCTTATATAATGTATGTAAATTTGCTTAGCCATCCCACGTACTTCATTATTACCTTTATGGTCTCTTAGGCATGACCATTTATATTTAGAAAGTACTTTGAGCCACTTCTGTAATTTAATAATTGGTCCCTTTTGGGGGGTACACATTTTTGCCCATTGTGTGTGACTTGCTGACTTCTTGGCTATGCTTTTGGTGAAAACTAATCCACATTGGGGTGCTGTGGTCTCAAGTTCTACTCTTGAGATGGCGAGTTGACTTTGACACGGAAATAGAACTTGTGTGCAGGATGTGCATTTTTTTGCTAAATGAAGGGTTTTTTTTGTTGTTGTTTTTTTAAAAAAATAGGTATTTGATTTCTTGTAAATGCTGTGAATCTCTATTTGTCATTTTGTATCTGTATATTAAAATACTTTGCCAAACTCGTCCTAGTGATGCATCTCCATATAAAGTAAGCCATATTATACAAAAAGAGGGGGACTGGGGCATGCATTTGCTTCTCGGTCCTGTGTAAAACAGTGTGGAAGCACAGGTTGGTAATCCCAGCACTTGGGAGGTGGGTGCAGGTTTTCCCTGGCTACATAAGGAGGTCAAGGTCAACCTAAAACACAGCTCAAGAAAAGAAATTCTTTAAAGGCTGCAGAGGCTGAAGGTTACACATTCTTTATTGCTTTGACCTTGGCGCGCTTCTTCCTAAAGACTCCTTCCTATTGGGTGGAAGGGAATCACGGGCGGGGGAGGGGGGTATGTTGGAGAAAGGCTCTGAGGAGAACGGAGAGAAGGGGCCATTGGACTCCCAAAGCCATTAGAGTAATATAGGAGCCAGAGAGGGCAAGTGACAGTTTGGGTGTTTCTGTTACCCTTTTGTGGCTTTGAAAGTGTAATGGGGAGTTGCCCGACCCCCTACCTCCAAGGTCCAGCAGATGCCCTACCAGAGTTACAGCCCAGCCCTGGAAGGCCCAGTCTGTTGCAGCAATTCCCCAGGAATGGTGGGATGTGGGTGACCAGGTCTCTCTGTCTCTGAGTGGCCATAGCTGCTGGCAAGACCCTTCTCTGGGAGATGAGCCTTTGGCCTTGACCTCCCTCTCCCAGGGTGTGGGGCGAATAAGAATTTCCTTTTCTCATTAGCAAGCTCAGAAAATCCCAGTAAACAGCCCATTGTTTGCTGTGACTAATCTGAAAAGGGTTCCTGGGGTTGCCAAGGCTGCCTCCTGCCTTCTGTGGACTCCCAGCAGCATCTGTCCCCTTGCGACCTTGCTCACCTCTCCATGGGCTCCACTGCGTGAAAGGGTGACAGTGGCAACATGGTCCCATACGTAGAAGGGAGCGTAAGTGGAAGGCCCAGTATTTTATTCTAGAAGAGTTGGGGTGGGAGGAGGGGGGAAACAAGCATGCATTAGTTGACTGTTGTATGCACAGGAGACCATGTCCCTCACAGGAATGTGTGGCTGGAAAACCCTATAGAAATACGATGACGTTCATCTTTGCATCAACAGTGCCAGAGATGTGACGTAGGCACATGATAGCTCCTAGAACGGAGTCCTGTCCCCGACAAACATTCAGGCCAGCACTCAACTCCTAAGGACTTCACAGAGGTCCAAGGCCCTTGTAGGATTCTGTGGATAAACATGGGACCAGGTGGTCTCTGTGGAGCTGGATGGTAACAGATGACTCGAACCCTGAGGCACTGGTTTCAGGTGGCATTCCCTAATGTGGACAGCTCAAGGCCAGCTGTCGCCAGGATTGTGGACACAGGTTACAGTGAAAAGAGAAATCTAAAATCAGGCCAGAGGGATGCCCTGGGAGACTTTGCAGTGATCCCAGCAGGTCTTGGGGAACGGGGTGATAACTGGTGACCTAGTCTTCTCCTTATGCAAAGAATGAGTTGGAGCGCCACAAATAGGCAAAGGAATAGTGTAAACAGCAGACCAGGCTCCCATCAAACCCCTGGTTCCCGCTAGAGCTAGGAATACAGCTGGAGAGATTCCAAATGGCCAGAGGAACAAATGGGGACCATGTCAGCTTGAAGCTGAGTGACCCACAGAGGTTCCTCTAGCAACCAGCTGCACTACCCACAAATGAAGGGACTTTGGGGCCTGGCTGTGCCAGAACGCCTAAAGAAGCCAGATCTAGCTCAGTGGGTGCTCCCAAATCCAATCCCACCTCCTCCTAGGTAAGGTGTTGGGGCTGCTTGCTGTGCTAAGGTGAGCCTTCCCAGTACCTGCATACCTAGGTGGCCATTAAGTAGAGCTCTTACCCGTCTCAGCCTAGCGTCTCCTCATATTCTGGAAACTTCTGTTTGTGCCTGAATGTTTCGACCCTTCTCAGGAGAAGGTGGAGAGAAAGGACTGCAAGGTGAAGCCCACCACGGCTGCAGCATGCTCGAAGAATGATTGCAAGGTGCAGTTGCCCACGGCAACTGCAGCATGCTCGAGGAATGATTGCAAGGTACAACCCACGGCAACTGCAGCGTGCTAGGGGAATGATTATAAGGTGTAGCCTGTGGCAGCTGCAGCATGCTCAAGGAATAATTGCAAGATGCAGCCCATGGCAGCTGCAGCATGCTCAAGGAATAATTGCAAGATGCAGCCCATGGCAGCTGCAGCATGCTTGAGGAATGATTGCAAAGTGCAACTCACAGTGGCTGCAGCGTGCTCCTCCATGTTCTGAAGGGTGAATGGAAGGACAAAGTCGTCATCTCCTCTGTGGGTGGTATAACTAACTACTCAGATGTTGGAAGGGTCTGGTTGGACCATGGTAACTCCACATCGGGCACACCAACGGTTGAAACTTGGAGTTCCTGAAGGGGAAGGGCAACTGTCAGGCCCAAAGAGAACCCCGAATTTTCCCAAAAGCAGTGGATAACCTAAGACAACATTTGCTCCGCTCAGGCTGGCCTATAGAGGGAACAGCATTCCTCAGGAAATCCCAAAAGGGGTTCCTGTCTGCCTGAAAGATCCATTTCCCTTGACATATGCCTATGGTCACATATCAAAGCCTTCTAGACTCCACAAGTCCCTATCTACATGTACCTGTTACACATTTCAAACCCCTTTTATGGAGAAAACTTTTTTCCCCTGGTTTTTTGAGACAAGTCTTCTTGTATAACCCTGGCTGTCCTGGAACTTTCTCTGTAGATCAGCCTGGCCTTGAATTCATAAAGATCCACTTGCCTTTGCCTCCTGAGTGCTGGGATTAAAGGTGTGCACCACCACTGCCCCCAAGGCCTTATGAGTGCTAGGCAAGCGCTATACCACTGAGCTAAATGCCCAACCAGGAGAAAATAACTTTATTTTACAGTTTACTATATGTAAAGGGCTGAGCTGGTCACTGGGAGTGTCCGACCTTATCTAGTACTTTAGAAGTCACAAGGCCTCAGACCAGCCTCCTGACCACACTGACTCCCAAAGCACACCTGAAGGCCTTTTCCTTCCAGCTATCAAGGTGTCCTCTGGAGATGTGAATGCCAAGGGGAGGACTGACTGAGTCGTAGGGTGCCCTTGATTTTAGTTCTGCCCTTGATGGAAGCCACAGGCCATAGTAACGAATCACTTGAAAGTTCTAAGTGAACAAAAGTAACCCTGATGGTCTTCGATGCAAAGGCCACCCAGTTACTCTCGCGGTCATTTGTGTCGTTTCTGTGTCTGTCGCCCCACAACGGACTCGGGGCCAGTGAGAAGCTGCTGTTCACGTCAAGGAAAGAAACCTGTAATGAGGATCCGTTCTCCCGCATCCCACCTGCTGGAACACCTGGAATTTCCTCATTTTATCTCAGAGGACAGAAGGAAGGGGCAAAGTTTTCCACACCCAGGGGTGCTCCAAAGGGATGCCACCCGACCCCAGTGCTGCTGTGGTTTTTGAAGCTCGTCCAAGACATCTTGTGCCTCCCTCCGTCCCCTCCCCTTCCTGCTATTTTGCAGTTATGTCCACTGGGGAGTTGTACGGCAGGAAGGCATGATTTTATTTACCGTGTGTGGGCTCCCTATTCTCACAGTGTCCGTGTGCAGCCTACGACTTCAGGGTTCAGGTAAGAGGGCCGGAGAGAAATTTTTTTTTTTTCTTGTTGAGTTGAAAGTACCTGGGTTCCGAGGTAGCCAGGTGTTTTTAAAAGGTCTGGGTGAGAACAGAGGTAATCTGCTTCTAAAATGTTTTTCTAAAGGGCAAACGGGTGTGGTGGTTCATACTTGTTATGCCACACCGGAGAGGCTGGCACAGAAGGCTTGATACAGAGTGAGTTCAAGTCAGCCTGCCTGGGCTGTAGTACGAGACTGACTCTCTCTCTCTCTCTCTCTCTCTCTCTCTCTCTGACACACACACACACACACACACACACACACACACACATGGGGCGGAGAAAAATCAAAGATTTTCACTGGCCAGAATTCTGCAATACTGGGCTCGGAGGAGGCAGGAAAAGCAAAACAAAACAGGGTAAATCACAAGAATAACAGCCCTTCCTAGAAAAACTCACAGATGATCAGCTACATGGTTTAATGAGTCTGTTTTAATAGTTACATACCTGCTAATTTATATGGTCTATAAAAGCCTCAATGCGTGTCGAGGAAAAGAGAAAGGCTGTGACATTGTTGAATATATGAGAGAAGCAAATAAAGCCAGCTTAGAGTGGAGGGACACGTGATGTCATCCCTCATGCTCTATGCTCAAACAAGCCGGGCCTCAGCAAAGCTGCTCACAAGCTGGCCCAGTGCAGCACACCTGCCATCCAGCCCTTGGAATGCTGAGACAGGAGGATCATGAGTTCTAAGCTTCCCTGAGTGGCGTCAGAAAGACCTTGCCTGGAAAAAGTCAAGTGGATCTCCCGATTTCTGTCAAATGTTAGTGTTTGGGGCTTCGTAAAGACTTTGAAGTGTTTGAGGGGACATAAGGAGCCTGAAATGTTCGTCCCCTTGACTGTGAGTTAGAGAAAATTAATCAGAAGAGGCCCCACAATTAGCTGTTCATTTTAAACATGTGGGTGGGTGTCATGCCAACACCGTCTCTCTGTACCACCTTGGAAGTCAGGAGAGAGCGTCACATCATCTGGAACTCGAGTTACCGATGGTTGTGAGCAGCCCTGTGGGCGCTGGGCATTTAACCCAGGTCCTCTGGAAGGTCAAGCTCTTAATCACTGAGCCATCTCTACCCGCCAGGTGGGCTTTTATGGAGAGGTTGGGACGCGAGGGGGATGCTGGTGACGCGCAAGAGGAATCGGTGTCGAACCTACCCGTCACCCGTGAGCTCGGCAGCAGAAGCCGCTGTGGATAACTCACGGATGTGGCTCTAAGAAAACTCAACTTCCTGAAGTGGAGTGCATTCCTGATGGAGAGGGAGGAGAGGGAAACCGCTGGGATTCCTCTTCCAGAAACACTTTCTGTATCCCATAATACTCCACAGCTTCCACTAGAGGGTGACACATTTTTTTGGACGTCACTCAGGTTAAGAGCACTGTGGGCAGCATTCAGTTCGCAGCACCCACATATGGCAGCCTGTAACTCCAACTTCCTTGGGCATCTCTCCCTCAGGAGCCGCCTGGTGGGGTTCTGCATTGTACAAGGTCACAGAACTCGAAATGTCATCTGACTGTATTTTCAACACCAGGCGGCTCCTGAGGGAGAGGTCTTGTGGCACTTTGCATACTCACGGAGTTGGTTCCTCATCGCATCTCATGGACTCAAACCCCAGCAGGGACTTGCATGCTGATCCTGTTGTGGGGAGCAGTTTGTCAACCATTCTTCCCCTCTCATCGGGATCTCAGCTACAACCTGAGGCTGAAGACAGATTAAAAACAGAAACAATTATAAAGAGGCGGGAAGTCAAGCAAGAGGGCCAGTGTCCTCAGAGGAAAGGAGCTGGGAAGTGTGCTTCTCCCAAACTGCTGGCTGTGTGCTCAGGAATGCACTATCGCAGCAGACTTGGGTGTCTTTTTGCTGTAGCCTTGGTGGTTAAAGCGAAGAACTCGTACATCACATAAGTGTTCTAGCACTGAGCTGAAGCCACAGCCCCAGTGTCGATGTTTGGTACGGTGCTGTTAACACCACATAATTTCTGTTATATGTGTATAGCGCTGGGATAGGACTCAGGGCCCCGCGTGTGTGAGACAGCCTTTCTACAATTGACTCACTTCCTCTGCTTTAATGTTTTACTGTCTTTTATCGTGAGCAAACATATACATAAATTCAAACTTACCAGTTGAGCCGTCTTAAGTGTATGACTGAGTAGCAATGAGTACATTCGCAGCATCCTGTAGCTGTCCCCATCATAGATCTGCAGAGGTTTCATCTTTCCCCGAACAGCACCTCCTCCCCTTCAGCTCCTGGCTCCTGCTATGTTGCCTTCTCCATGGGTTGGGCCACTTTGCGTGCTTTAAATGAAATAACACACACACAGATTTAACTTTCAGTCCCAGATTTTGTCACTGCTAAATGTCCTTAAGGTTCATCAATAATGTAGCATGGACCGGGATTTCCCGCCCTTTTGGGGGGCCAAATGGCATTCCACTGTATATTCTATCCTCTATGGCCTCGTGAGCTGCTCCCCCTTGTGGCCTCTGTGGACATTGCTGCCAGGAACAGAGCTGTAGGCAGAAGTTTCTATCCTGCAAGCAGCTACCAAATAAACACACAGAGGCTTAATATTAATTACAAATGCTTGGCCAATAGCTCAGGCTTGTTATTAGCTAACTCTTACACTTTAAATTAACACATGTTTCATTTCTTATGTACCCTCCACATGGGTTGGAATCTTTTCTCAGTACAGCATGCCCAACTTGCTTGTCTGTCTCTCTGCTGGGGACTCCAAACTCCACTCTTCTCCTTCCCAGTATTCTCAGTTTGGCTCTCCCTCCTAACTTTATTCAGTTCTGCTATTGGCCAGTCAGCTTCTTTATTAGCCAATCACAGTGACAAATCTTCAGCGTGTACAAAGGGATTATTCTACAGAACAGAGCTTGTTCAAGTCTCACAGTTTTTGTTATTGTTGTTTTGTGGGGTTTTTTTGGCTCTATTTCCAGGAAAAGAATTGCTGGCTCAGATGGTAATTCTATGTGGGCATTATTATTTTTAGTGTGTTTTTTCGTGTATATTGTAGTCAAATTTGATCTTTACATCAGCTCCATGAAATAAGAAAACATTTTTCTCTGGCTCAAAAAAGTGGCTCACTCAAATTGAAACAATAAATTTGAGTCTCTGGAACTCAAAACTCGTCTTCCACATTTTACTGACTATTAAAAGTGGTCCCAATCATGTGTTCCCACCTGAGGACAATATGCCTTTCTTATCTCTCTCTCTCCTTTCCCTTCTCCCTTCTCTTTCTCTCCCTCCCTCTCTCCCCTCTCTCTCTCAACAATAGAGTCTCACTAAATAGCTCAGGCTGACCTAGAACTTGAGATTTTTTTTCTCAGCCTTCTGAGTGCTGGGATTATAGGCATGTGCCACTGTGTCAGGCTTGGCAACAGCTTGGTCAGGTGCCTGGTTTCTGTTTTCCTGCTCCGACTATCGGACACATAAGATCATGTTCAAGCCTTTGTCAGTGCAGAGAGAAAAGGCAAAGTCACTCCCCAGCAACCGTGTGCATGCCCAGAGACCAATGCCTGTCCCATAGCAGAGAGGAGAGGCTGTGTCCATGTCCAGAGACCAAGGCTTGTCCCATTGCAGAGAGGAGAGCCTGTGTCCATGCCCAGAGACCAAGGCTGATCCCATTGCAGAGATGAGAGGCTGTGTCCATGCCCAGAGACCAAGGCTTGTCCCATCACAGAGATGAGAGCCTGTGTCCATGCCCAGAGACCAAGGCCTGTCCCATCACAGAGATGAGAGGCTATGAGGCCAAGAGACCAAGGCTTGTCCTATCACAGAGATGAGAGCCTGTGTCCATGCCCAGCAACTCTATTTACACACAGCGACCAAGCATTTTTCAATTTCTGTTTTCCTCTTTCAGTTCAGTCCCTGTCATCTGATCATGAAGATTTGGTGGCTCCTTCTGGTCATGGGCGCATGTGCAAAGAGTGTGTACTCCCAGGACACCTGCCGGCAGGGGCACTCTGGCATCCCTGGGAATCCAGGTCACAATGGCCTCCCAGGAAGAGACGGACGGGATGGCTCCAAGGGTGACAAAGGAGACACAGGTACTGAACGTCTGCAGTGTCTTACTGCCTTGTCCCTCTCTTCCTGTTGGTGTACTGTTCCACCTGCCCATGGAGCCCTCACCCACCAGTGTTCCCATCTTGTCTCTTTGCCATTGAGCTACCTCCCCAGCTCTGTCAAAACGGATTTCTTAAAAACACATGTAGCCCATGCCTTTAATCCCAGAACTCAGAAGGCAGAAGCAGGTGGGTCTCTGTGAGTTCAAGGCCAGCCTGAATTATATATATTGAGTTCCAGGACAACCAGAGATACATAATAGAAAGACCCTGTCTCAAAAAAACAAAAACAAACAAAAACAAAACAAACAAAAGTATCTGTTTCTCTCTTTTTCCATTTAGTTCATATATATATTCTACTCAGTGTGCTTAGGAGAATGATGTTAACATGGACTGCTTGGGAGGAAAATCTGCTGCTTCATTACCTGGTACTCTGAGGATGTTCTCTCTCTCTCTCTCTCTCTCTCTCTCTCTCTCTCTCTCTCTCTGTGTGTGTGTGTGTGTGTGTGTGTGTGTGTCTGTGTGTGTGTGTGTTTGTGTCTTGTTGTTTTGGTTTGGTTTTTGGTTTTTTTGTTTTGTTTTGTTTTATTTTTTTGAGACAGGGTTTCTCTATGTAACTTTGGAGCCTGTCCTGGAACTTGCTCTGTAGACCAGGCTGGTCTCGAACTCACAGAGATCCACCTGCCTCTGCCTCCTGAGTGCTGGGAGTAAAGGTGTGCACCACCATTGCCCAGATCGCTGTGTGTTTTACATAATCAACACACAATTAGTACAGTGTCCATAACATCCATTCAGTTGTTCAGGTAGATGTTAAAGATCTGGCTGGTATAAAAACTTTGGGATATACAGAATACAGGAATTGGGAGCTAGGCAGGGAGAAAGAGAAGTTTGGTAGGAAGGCTCAGGCTTCAGTGTGGCGCAGACAAGAAGCGGGAGATAATGGAGAGGCTACTCTGGGGATACCTCCCTCTTGGTGGTTCAGTGGGACTCAGGGCTTGCTTGGGCTAACAGCGGGCTCTATGCTAGTTACAAACCAACCTGTGTCACTCTCCAGTCCTGAGAGCTGAAGGCTGTCCCAGCTGCTTGTCTCCCCACAGCTAGAGTGGTAGGGTTTAAGTTTTTGGGGTCTTGGCTGACTTGAGTGAGACAGAACCTGGAGTAAACCGTGGCTTTGTGAGCTCTTCTGTCACCATAGTGTGGCCGTTACTTGGTGACCTGTTTCCAGACTTAAGATGGTGTATGACTAGCAGAACCCTTGTGTCCCATCCCAGCTTGTTCTGCGGCCTTCACCCCTGTCTACCATGCCTTTCCTTCCCCAACAGTCATATCACGGAGTTCTCTGATGCTTCATGGCATCTGGTGAGCCTTCCGCTCCACTCTTCAAGCTAATGGTGGAAAGGGATCGGAACGAGAGATGCGTCTAGCACCTCCCACCTTCAGATCTCTTCCAAGTCCAAATCCTGAGACAGACTTGCAGCATGGCCCTCTGTGTTTCATTTTGCCTTGCTTCGGGCTCCTTGGGCACCCCACAGTTGGGTGCTCAGGAAGTCACCAATGCATTTCATAACCTGCTCATCCTACATGATTCAACACCCTGGATACTCACTAACAGTATCTACCTCCACCTCTACTGGTGGAAAAGGAGGCAGGCTGGGGCACCCCTGGACTTCCCATATCAACCACCCCTGGAGACTCATAGCCGGGAGATTGGAATTGGCCTCTCAACTCTTATCTGCTTCCTTCCCTTCCACCTAGGAGAACCAGGACATCCCGGAGACCCAGGGAAGGATGGAATTCGTGGGGAGAAAGGAGAACCAGGTCAGCGGTGACTTTGCGTCGTCCCTTGCACAGTGCTCTGACACAAGGCTGGGCTGACAGCAGCCATTCTGCACTGCTGTGAACCGATCTGTCTGCTGCTTCCAGGATGAACCACTGTATTAGTCAAGGTTCTCTGAAGGGACGGAACGGTAGAGTGATTGTATATAAATATAAACACAGAGAGGGGGGATGGGGATTACAAACTGTGGCCTGTGTAGCCCAACAATGGCTGTCTCCCAACAGGGAGGCCAAGGATCTGTTGTGCAGTTTAGGAGCCTGGATGTCACTGCGATCCCAGTCTGATTCTAGAGTCCTGGGGAATTCCGAAAGAGCTGTTGATCCTCAGTCTATCTTGGAATAGTGAAGAGGTAGATTCTAACACTAGCAAAGGAATGGCCCAGCAACAGGGTGGAAAGGTTTGCCAGCTGGAACAAGGGCAAACAGGCAAAAAGCAAAACCTTCCTTTTTTTCTTGTCAGTCACAGTGGGCTGATGACCAAAGGTGTGGCCCAAACTTAGGGTGGGTTTTCCTGCCTCAAGTGATCGAATCCAGAAAATCTCTCACTGGGTTTGGTGGCACACGCCTTTGATCCCAGCATTTGGGAAGCAGGCAGATCTCTGTGAGTTTGAGGCCAGCTTGGTCTACAGAGTGAGTTTCAGGATAGCCTGGGCTACACAGAGAAACCCTGTCTCAAAAAACAAGCAAACAAGAAAGAGAGAGAGAAGGAGGCAGGGAGGGAGGGAAGGAGAGAGGAAGGGAGAGAGGAGGAGGAGGAGGAGGAAGAGGAGAAGAAGGAGAGAGAGAGAGAGAGAGAGAGAGAGAGAGAGAGAGAGAGAGAGAGAGAGAATATATCCCTCATAGGTAAGCCCAGATGTTTGGGTTTTAGTTGACTCTAGATGTATTCAAATTGATAAGCAACATTAGCCACCACAGCCACCAATATATTCTCTCTCTTCAATAGTTACAGGTGCATGCTGGGATAAGTAAACTTCTGGAAATGTCCAAATGGAAATTAGTCTCAGCTTTGTGGGTCATGGGATCTGCCCGTGCACCGAAAGGCAGCCTCAGATGCCACACAAACAAGTGTTGCCATGTTCAGGGGCAGCTGTGGCTGAAAGACTAATATTTGCATCTTACATCCTTTTTGCATAGTATGAAGTCCTGCTTTGTTTTCCCCAGGACTGGGGATTAAACATTGAAATTCACGCATGCTAAGCAAATGCTGTGCCACAGCCTTCTTTTCAAAAACATTTATAAACATATATTAATTATACATAATGGGTCCGCTGTGACATTTTTATACTTGGACATAATGTTTCAGTCACATTCATCCCACTACCCTCTCTTGGCCAGTTCCACAGATCCCTTTCTGCTGCTGCTGTTGCTGCTTCTCTCCTGTCTGTTTTCCTTTCTTGTACGTGTGACCCAATGAGTTTCATTAGGGAATCTATAGGCACATGGGTGGGAGTGTGCTTGTGGGAGCGGAAGACTCTTACTAATAGCTAACTGCTGAAGAAAGTGTGTCTCCCTCTCCATCACACACTGACTGCATACAAATCCCCGGGCAACCGTGGGGCCCCAGGAGATCCTTTCTCTTCCATAGCAGAGTGTTCAGGGCCCCAATCTTGTGCAGATAATCACAGCTTCTGTGAGTTCACGAATACAGCAGCCCTACTGTGCCTGGGATTCGGTGGTCTGCAGTACTCCTCATTCCGTCCTTGATCTTATATTCTTTCCACACCCTTTTTCACAGTGGTCCCTGAGTCGTGCAGGGGATGACATAGATGTCCCATTTTTACCTAAGCATTCAAGAGTTACTTATTCTCAACACTTCTCTTTTGTAACTCTTTAGCTTGAGATAGAGTATCATGGAGTTGCTGAGGCTGGCCTGGGCCTCGCTCTGTAGATCAGGAACACGATGAACAGGCTGTCCTCTTGGTAAGCATCCCCTGAGTGGCTGAGGTTGTGGGTCTGTCGCCACCACACCATGATGCGATGTTATTTTTGTTGATGTAAACACATAAAGTCTTAGCTCATGGGCTGTGCAAAATCAGGTAGGAGACAGATTGGGGCAGCAGGCCACAGTGTGCTGACCTCTGACTCAGTGGGGGAGCACCAAGGAGGGAGGTTCTACTTCACTCAGTGTATCTGGCCCTGCTTCAGGGAGAAAGTGGCACTTGAGTAGGGCCCTGGGCTGGAGCTATAGCCCAGTGACTGGTACTTTCCCAGAATTAATTGCAACCTGAAGGGTAGGGAGTAACCGATGGAGAAAGATGGCTGTAATATCAAATACATGCAACTTATTCTGTGCATTAATCTAAAGCTTTTATATGAAAATGGAAGAGTTCTATAAATTGGGTAGCATCACCGTTCCAGCTCTGTAGATGAGGGGCAGATGTGATGGGGGCTCACTGTCTGCTTGTACTGTATGTCCACACATGCTGGGGTTGGAGAAAGGTTAGCTAATGTTCTGGGGTGAGCCCAGGCTCTCTGCTTATGAGCATCACTGCCTCCCAGTCCTGGTGGAGGAAGTGAACGGTGTGGAGTGTTCATGTAGAACGAGGAAAACTGGTGTGGAAAGGGCAGACAAGGTCTCGACAGTTGGCAGGCATGGGGGCCATAATGAATGTCTGATTCCAGATCCACTCCTTGAGGGACTGTCACTTGCTTAGGACTGAGGTTTTGTGACTCAGCAGCCTGGATTGATCTGCTCCTTGTCATGGTTTCCTTCAATGATGTGTGCTTCTCCCTTATTTCTGGCTCAACATGGGACACTTTGGTGGCACAATTGTCAATACTCAGATGAGCCCTGGTACTGACTAAAGCATATTTTTAGAGGCTGGGGATGTGGCTCCATTGGTAGAGGGCTTGCCTAGCATGCACGAGGCCCTGGGTTCTATGCCTTGCACTGCTTAAACTGGGAGTGGTCAAACACAGTTATAGTCCCAGCACCCAGGAACTGCAAACAGGAGGACCAGAAGTTCAATATCATCCAGTCACTCTTGGTTATAGTGAAGTTGAAGCCATCCTGGGCTACATAAGACCGTGTGTGTGTGTGTGTGTGTGTGTGTGTGTGTGTGTGTGTGTATGTGGTTTTTTTTGTTTTTGTTTTTCTAGAGAGGGTTTCTTTGTAGCTCTGGAGCCTGTCCTAGAACTAGCTCTTTTAGACCAGGCTGGCCTCGAACTCACAAAGATATGCCTGCCTCTGCCTCCCGAGTGTTGGGATTAAAGGCGTGCGCCACCACCGCCTGGCGTGTGTGTGTGTGTGTGTGTGTGTGTGTTTAAGTGGGTTTGTGTGTGTGCTTACATGTACATTTCCCTGCATGCAATTTGGGAGTTTGTGACTTTTCAAACTCTGAGCAGATCTTGAACCCACACACTACTTTGTCTCAATTAAATGCTTAGTGATAGGAGTTCCAACATTGCTTATGGGGGAATGGATCCTAAAACACCTTCATTATCCTTCATTATCTTCCTCCTTTCAGGAGCAGATGGAAGAGTTGAAGCGAAAGGCATCAAAGGTGATCCAGGCTCCAGAGGATCCCCAGGGAAGCATGGCCCAAAGGGATCCATTGGCCCTACAGGAGAACAAGGGCTGCCCGGAGAGACCGGCCCGCAGGGGCAGAAGGGAGATAAAGGCGATGTGGGCCCCACTGGTCCAGAAGGACTGATGGGCAGTACTGGACCATTGGGCCCCAAGGGCTTACCTGGTCCGGTGGGCCCCATTGGCAAACCAGGTCCTAAGGGAGAAGCCGGACCCATGGGCCCCCAGGGGGAGCCGGGAGTCAGAGGGATGAGAGGCTGGAAAGGCGATCGAGGAGAGAAAGGGAAAGTGGGCGAGGCTCCCATCGTGCCTAAGAGTGCTTTTACTGTGGGGCTCACAGTGATCAGCAAGTTCCCTCCTCCTGATGCACCCATTAAATTCGATAAGATCCTGTACAATGAACTGAACCATTACAACGTGGCGACGGGGAAATTCACCTGCCACGTGGCCGGCGTCTATTACTTCACCTACCACATCACTGTCTTTTCCAGGAATGTGCAGGTCTCTTTGGTCAAAAATGGGGCAAAAGTCCTGCATACCAAGGATGGCTACATGAGCTCTGAGGACCAGGCCTCTGGTGGCATCGTGCTGGAGCTGAAGCTCGGGGACGAGGTGTGGATGCAGGTGACGGGAGGAGAGAGGTTTAATGGCTTGTTTGCTGATGAGGATGACGACACCACCTTCACCGGCTTCTTGCTGTTCAGCAGCTCTTGACACAGCGGACTCTGTGCATGGGCCTCACTGAAGGCTCTGCTGGTGGACATGGTGCCCCCAGAGCTAGCTCGGGGACAGTGGGAGGTTACCGCGCCCATTCCTCCCATTATTGCGTCCGTCCTAAAGTGTAGATGTGGGAAGCTAAGGCTACAAAGCCAGTCATTTGAACACATTCATAATAAACTAACTCAGAGACACCAGCTGTGCACCAGTGTCCCGTTAAGGCAAGAGATCAAAGCACTTCCTCTTAGTGTCATGGAACCAAGAGGGAGTCCAGATTTGAATTCTCTACTTCGTGCTGTGAGTCTTCCGTCCTCCCTGTCTGTTTGCTCTATGAGTCTGAATCTGTGTTTGCCTGAAGGCTGTCCTGTGAATCTGTCCCTGTCCCCAGCAGAGGGCTGTGTTCTCTCTCTTATTAGAAGCACAGAAATCATCATATGGAGAAAGGAATGAGGGATGCTTTATAGAAATCTTTATCAGACTATCACGAGGGATTAAGTCACTGACTCCAGTTGCTTCCAACTGACCCAGATAACAAATGAACACTATTAAGCAGGGAGAAAGAGAGAGTGAGAGACTGAACGTGGAATGGGCTTTTGAAACATTAAAGCCCGCTCCCAGTGACACACCTACTTAAACAAGGTCACACTTCCTAATCCTTCCCAAACAGTTCCACCAACTGGGGACCAAGTATTCAAACATGTGAGCCTAAGTGGGGACATTCTCATTCAAACTACGACAATGTAAGGAATATTTTTTAATCATGATGCCTTGCCATAGTTGTATGAAATTAAAAATATCTCTCTCTCTCTCTCTCTCTCTCTCTCTCTCTCTCTCTCTCTCGACAGAGTCATTCTAGGTAATTGTGGCATCATGGCTGTTCTGGAACTTTCTCTGTAGTCTAGGCTGGTCTTGAACTCAGAGATCTGCCTGCCTCACCAGTGCATTATCACACCTGGCTTAGGAATATCTTAAAGAGTAAAAGAATAAACATTGGCACTGTTTGTTGTAATTAAGTTTCCACACTGGAGAAGGAACCCAGGGTTCCTTGCTAGGCAAGTGCCCTGCCACAGAGCTCTGTCCTCAGCCTGTTTGTTACAATGTATTTAAGACATTGCCATTCCTGAACCCAAGGCATCCTTTGCTTGTGTGTTTGCAGAGTTTAGAAGAGTTCTGGTGTCACTTTCCTGCTCTAAGGGCCATATTGTGACTTCTGATATTAGGGGAAAGTAAGAGAAAATGAGATGGGATTATGGCTGAGTGGGTATAGCATTTGCATGGGAAGCATGGGTTCCATTCTCAGTACTACAAAAAAACCCTACTTACTCCATTTAATGACTAGCTACATTTAATGACACCCCAGGAGGCTACTCAATACAATGGTGGGTACCTTGTTTCCCACTTAGGTGTCTATGCTACACAACTCAAGGAATAGTTGGAATGAATCTATAGCAACTTTTTAGGCCTAATGGAGGTGGGTGGTTTAAGATATCAGAATGTAGCCAGGCAGTGGTGGTGGTGCACACCTTTAATCCCAGTACTTGGGAGGCAGAGACAGGTGGATCTCTATGAGTTCGAGGCCAGCCTGGTCTACAGAGTGAGTTCCAGGACAGACTCCAAAGCTACACAGAGAAACCCTGTGTAGCTTTGAAAAAACCTTGAAAAAACCCAACAAAACAAAACAGACAAAGATATCAGAATGTACTCTGTCACGGTGTCACAGTTCTGGAAGCAGAAATGGGAGGTCCATGTGTCAGCAAGATTGAGACTAAGTCCCTGAAGGGAGATCCTTTCTTCCATTTCCAGCTTCTAACAGCTCCTGGTGTCCCTTGGTTTGAAACACATCACTTCAGGGGCTCTGGCTATAGTTCCACATAGGGTTCCCTTCGTAACTGCACATGTCCGATTTTTCCTCTTCTAAAGAGGACATCAGTCGTACTGATTCAGGCCCATCCCAACCTGATTACCTCTGTAAAGATTCTCTGTAACATGAGGGGCCGGCTTGTTGGAATATCTGCCCCGCCCAGTACCCCACAGCCGGCAAGCCCCAAAGAAAATCACACACAGGACTCCATAAGATTATAAACTGATTGGCCCTTAGCTCTGGCTACTTATTAGCTCTTATAACATATATCACCCCATTTTCCTTATCTATGTTAGCCATATGGCTCAGTACCTTTTCTAACTCAGCAGCCCACATGTTGCTTCTTTGGTGGTCTGGCCTGGACTGCGGAGGAAGCTTCCTGCTTCCCAGAATTCTTCTGTTCTTATTGCATCACCTCTACTTCCTGTCTGGTTTTCCCACCTATACTTCCTGCCGGGTCAATCAGCATTTATTTAAAATATGAATGACAGAATACAGACAATTCTCCTGCACCAATTCTACCCAAATAAGAGCCGATTGGCAGGTACCAAAAATTAGCACTTTAATGTGTCTTATAAGGAGACACAATAGTCTGCCCTCTGAACTTGCCTCCAAGTTTATGTCCTTCCTATCATGTATGCCCAAAATGTCATCATTTAAGCCATTTAAACCAACAACAGGAGAGACCTATTGTGTGATATATCCTGGGGCAGAATCCAGCCAGATGGAAATCATCAGTCTGACAAGTTATTTGCTTCCAAAGTACAGTGGTGGGATAGGCATAAGATGCCCACTAAAGGGAGGAAGGGAAAAGCAAAAGGGGCTCACAAGTTCCAAGGGATTCCGAAACCCAGCAGAGAAAATATTAGTGTCTGAAATAATCAATCTTGCCGCAACACTTCCGTTCTCTATGTGATCTTACTGCAGGGCTCTTTGGGAATGTTTTAGGTAGACTCTCTCCCTGCCCACCTGGGTACCTGGCAGTGATAGTGAATTGTCCACATGTATCCACAACTCATGTGCACATTGGAACACACGTACTTCTCGTGCTGGTTTCCAAACCCTGGCTGTGACGGTTAGCTGTCAAGGCCAACTTGACTGAATTTAGAAGCTCCCTGGAGGCACACCTCTGGTCACGACTGTGAAGGCTTTTCCAGAAAGGTTTAATTGGAGAGAAACGACCTGCCTTGAAGAGGGTGATACCATTCCATGGGCTGGGATCCCAGCCAGAAGAGAAAGGAATGAAGGAAGTGGTAAGCTGAGTGCTGGCACTCCTTTTCTCTGCTTCCCATCTCCCCCATTGTGGGGAAAATCATGACGTCACCACTGTTAGCTACTCTTGCTTCCACTCTGTGTGTGTGTGTGTGTGTGTGAATTGTGAACTTCTGATCCTCCTAATTCTACCTCCCACAGACTGGGATACCCATAATCCTTTATCTCTTTTGTAATTTATATATTTTTATTTTATGTGCATTGGTGTTTTGCCCGCATGTATCTCTGTATGCGGGTATCAGATCTTGGAGTTACAGATAGCTGTGAGTGGCCATGTGGGTGTTAGGAATCGAACCCAGGTCCTCTGAAAGAGCTGTCAGTGCTCTCAATCTCCAAGGCATCTCTCTAGTCCCATAATCCCTTTCCCATCCACTGGCTCCCCACTTCTACCCACAGCAATCTCTCATGGAAAAATCAAGTTCCTGATAACAAAATCCTTCCTTCTGGGCGTGGTGGCTCCTGTCTGGCATCCCAGCTCTCAGGATGAGGAGGCGGGGTTACAGCCAGTTTGAAGTCAGACTGGGTTACATGGTGGTTACATGGTTACAAAGTGAGACCCTGTCTACAAACCAATCAAACACAGAATCTTCAAACTTTTCATTTCTTCCCTACCACAGTCTATAAAGCAGACATGACCGCCACCCCATATGACGCCTTCTACAGGAGAGACGACTGCACCTGGGAAAGAAAAACTCTGGTTCTGGCAGAGTCCAGTACCCTGACTCACAGTGGTGAGCCTGACTCCCTCTGGAAAAGGCTAGCGCTCTCAAAAGACTTCCTCAAGCCTTCCAACGTCCTTACGTCCATCAGTCCTTCTTTCCCAGCGAGTGCTCACAATTTCCTACTGCCTTCTCTCTCAGCCTCCGACCTCTCATTTTTGCAGTCCGATAGATATTATTTGGGGAGTCCTATCTGTACTAATTTAGATTTTAGGCTATTATAGTGAAAGACTATAGACTATATATAGACTATTATCTAACTATAACTATAGTTAGATAGACTCCCCGGTAGGCAGATAGGGAGAGGAGCCATGTCTGTTTAATGATGGTGGTGAATCTCCAAGATGGCCAGCTTCTTCCCCAATCTTCAGCTTTTATCTCCCACCATCAGGGCCCCTGCTGATGGACAGGCTCAACCAAGTCGAGACTGGGTCAGGACATGTCACACTCTGGTTCTAGGCCAACCAAGCACCCCAGCTGTCTTTAAACTGACCAACCTTAAATCGGAAGGAAAACCCTTCAGAGGCTTTAAACTCCCGCAGGCCTTGAGAAGAGACTGGATTTTCGCTTTCCAAGACCGAGCAGAGGGTCTTTATCTCTGTGTGCCTGTGGCCTGTGTGTTTTCTCACCTCCGGTAAACACCTCTCATCAACCGCTATTCTGTCTGCAGTGCTTGCGATTTCTCTGTTGCTCAATGTTCCCCTTCGATGTTTCCTGCCTTTTAATTTTTCCGACTGGCAAAGACAACGAACCCGCCCAAGACCCTATAAACTGTATCATTTCAAGGCCCCTAGAAGGTATCAATGGTTTCAAAGGTCAAAACAGGTGAAGATTCTCTATAGTTAATTCACATGGTTACACACAACCTTAGCGTGTGCGCAAATGTAGGTGTGACTTCACTCTCTTTTGGAGCAGACAAGTTCCTTGGATTCCGACTACATGTGGGATCTGGATCCTTCCACGCGCTGCCACTGGGTCTCCTCTGAGAAGGCTAAAAGAAGTCACATGCATTCCTGGAACCGGTAAGACTTCCAATTCCCGACTAGACTTTTCTCCCCGCGCTCCAGTAACACGGAGGACAAGGCAAACTCAGGATGTTCCTTCCTCCAGACACACGATGGCGCTACGAAACTCCGGGTGCTCAGGCGGTGCCGGGGCGACGCTCTTGCTTGAGAGTGAACGCGCTCTCGTCCCGGCGCCGACAGGGCTGCGCGAGCGTCACGTGCCGCGGCGTGGGCTGCTGCCTTGGAAACGCAGGCGCGCGCTTCCTGAACCGGGGCTTAGCCGGGACCCGGGAGGGTGCTGCAGGTGGCCGGCATGCTGCGGTACGGCCGCAGACTGTGCG